TCGGGGATGGCAGCTGACTCGACGGAAGGAAGGTGGAGGGGTGAGATGGCGGGCTGGTCGGCAGTAGTGGCGAAGACATTGGCAAGCTTAATGACCTCGTCGATACCAACGCTCTCGTCCAAAGTGAGACCGACATGCTTGTCGTCGATCCTACGGAGATTGACACCGGCAGCTAGAGCAGCGTCGTGGACTGCAGACGCGTTCTTCGCAGCATCAGACACGTCAATAGTGAGCGTGTCAAAGAAATTGACATTGACGACCGTGTGCCCCGACTGCTCGATAAGTGCCTTGAGAAGCTGTGTAAGCGCGTGAACCTTGCTTGCAATGTGCTTGAGACCTTCGGGACCGTGGTAAACAGCGTACATGGCGGCCATGTTGGCAAGGAGCGCTTGCGCAGTGCAAATGTTGCTTGTCGCTTTCTCGCGACGAATGTGCTGCTCACGAGCTAAATGCGGATATTAGCGCGAAAATACTGCGTACTGAACACCAGACGTACTCTGAAGTGCCAAGCGATAAGCTGGCTTTCCGTCCGCATCACGACTCAAGCCAATGAGGCGTCCCGGCATCTTGCGCTTCAAGCTGTTGCTGCAAGCGAAGAACGCGCCGTGTGGTCCACCGTATCCAGCAGGAACACCAAAGCGCGCTGAATTACCCACGACGACGTCCGCGCCCCACTCGCCCGGAGGTTTGAGCATCGTGAGCGCGAGAAGGTCTGTTGCGCATACAAGAAGCGCCTTCGACGCGTGCACCTCCTGCGCAAGAGCGCCAAAGTCGGTGATGTTGCCGTCGACGTTCGGATACTGGACCAGCACACCGCATAAGTCACCGCGCACGGCCTCGTCCTTCAACACGGTAGACGCATCGCCGACAACGAGCTTGATGCCGAAACCCTTGGCACGCAGCTGGAGAACAGCAAGCGTCTGCGGGAGGACGCCGCTGTCAACCACGAACGTGTGCTTTTTGGAACCGCTGTTGGTGAGCGCGAGAAGCATGCCTTCTGCCGCCGCGGTCGCCTCGTCCAAGAGAGACGCGTTTGCAATGTCCATTGCGGTCATAGACATGATCATGGTCTGGAAGTTGATTAGAGACTCGAGACGTCCTAAAGCGCGCGTTAGCTTCTCGCCACATGACAAAACGCGCCACATCAAACGCACCTTGAGCAATCTCGGGCTGGTATGGGGTATAGGGGGTGTACCAGGCAGGACTCTCCATAATCTAAGGAGCTGGATGTCAACAAAAAGACGCGTCGTAAGGATGAATGAACGTACGTTGCGGAGGATGACAGGAGGTACGACAGCATTATGGTATCCCATGCCGATGTAGCTCTTCACCGGCTTGTTGGCTTTGGCTAGCTCACGCGCACGGTTGAAGAGTTGAGACTCCGTGAGCGAGGGGATGGAGTCGTTATTGATGGCGTCCTCCGCTATGCGAATCTTAGGGGGCACAGTGTCCGCGACGAATGCCTCTATGGAGTTGTAGCCCAGCTGCTTGAGCATGTGCTGAACCTCGGAGTCATCAGGGCTGATGTGACGGTTGGAGAACGTGTCCAGCGACGCGAAGAGGGACGATGGCGTCTTCGCGGTCGCAAAGCCCCTCGCTGGCGTCTTGGACACGAAGGGGGCCAGCGGGCGGGCACCTCGGGCGACGATACGCCTCGGGAGGAGGGCAGGGACACGGCGAACGGCCATGTTAGAGGCTTGTGGCCTGCTGGCAAGGACGAGAGAGGAGTTGTGGAGGACATGGGGCGAGCAGGCGGGAAATATTGAGAATTGTATTCACCGAGTCATTCACCGAGTACTTCAAAATCTCTTATCGCGGTCGACGGCGGTCAACAACAGAGACCCGACAGCTTAACCGACTCCTACCACCGGCGCTCCGGATTTTAAATTGTTAAATCGCGTGGATTCGAATATTCGACTACTTCACGAGTATATTTGCGTAGGGAAAATGAAATGCAACATAAGAGAGTCCTCGCAAGGTGCATGAGATGATTTCCGAGTACGAGACGACCTCCATTAGAGGCGCAATTGAGAGGACGCCGTTGCGCTCTCCGAAATAGGGAGGAGGAGAGTAACCGAGCCACCTTCAAAAAAACTTTTTCACCTGGTTCCGAGCATCCCGAACCTCTTCTCCGTCGGCTCTCCGCACCCGCCTATTTCCATTTCTAGCCCTCCCCGACGCCCCTCTACATTTCCGCGTCCGTGCAGCTGACCCGCCAAGTACTACTGCACGCACTACTGCTGGACCGTCGTGTCGCGCAACGGGATAAAACATACAGGGGTCACACCCCGAGATCAAGCCTTATCTGCCCTGGGCGTTGACGTCGTATCAGATGGTCAGGGAGGGGATGTCACCGCTCAGCGGCCCTCTCGTACGTGCGTGCTGAGCGCATCATGGGGTGAGCCGCGACGAGAGCGCGGAGTTATTTAGAGTAAAAGCAACGTCATTGGACAGTGCGGAAACCTCCGTGACACGCAGAGTTACGTCAAGAGCTGTTGACTGCTGCTCAAAAAGACAAGTTGCCTCGGGACGCACACTCGGGAGTAAGGAAAACTACCTGAGACTTGAACACAGCAAAGTGCAAGCTAAATTCCGTGGAAGCCACTCGTCTCGAGCAGTGCTGTCCGAAGCACACGAAGACGGATGTGTACGTAGTGCGGGGACGGACGAAATTCGGTTAGGGAGGAAGCTACGTGGTTCCCGAGAGTCCTGCATCGACCATCTCCGCTATCCACCCTTGCAGCGTGTCGTCACGCAGCCGAACACCCTCGAGCAAGTGCCGGACGCTCACGAACGCCTTCCTGCCACGTCGTTCGCCTTCCCTCTCGCTGTCCGTTATGCCACCCATGTCCTCATCGCCCTCCTTTTCCTCGACGTCCTCGATGATCCCCGGGAACCCGAAGTGTTCCTCGTCCACTCGTGGTGCAGCAGCTGACGATGCAAATGACGCGCGGAACAAGATGCGGATACAGAGCAGCGCAGTAAGGGCCGTGTGTGTTGGATCCTTGGCAGGCTGAGTGTAAGTGATGGCCGCATGTCGCGGTGGAGGTACTGGTCGCGTCGTTGGATCCGGGACAGGATGTGGGAAGTGTTCAGCAGGCAGAGTTATGAGATCGTCAACTTGCGGATCTCGTGCTGGCTGCTGCATAGCTGGCAGGTGCGTAAGGACATGTCCTCGCATATGCGTTGTCTGGATTGGCCCATGCGAGCAGTTCGCCCAAGAGCAAGTCATCTTGAGTTCGGCGTGCGGGTTGATGTGCTCTTCGAGTACATGCTCGTAGAGCTCACCTGTCGAGTTGAACGCGCTATTCTCGCACTGCCCCTGGTTCCAGCGACACTTGAAGCGGTCAATCGCGCGAACATCCTTCTTGCGGTCAACGCCTCTGACGACAAACTTTTGCGGTGGACCAGCGAGAACCATCGCTTGCGCAGTTGAGAAGACTGTGGTGACGTTCTTGATCACTTCCGAGGCAGGTATGCAGTAGTACTGGCTCTGGTAGGGGATGAACGTGTCCTTGTACATGTTGTAGAACTCTACTTGTGTTAGCTCGCGATCTGGGTTGACCTCGAACATGGTTCTCATCCTGTGAAGGGGACTCGTATCAGAACAAACGGAAACTTAGTGTATGCGGCAACCCACCATTCGTAACACCGGTCGGGTTCGGGCATAGGCAGTAGTTTGTCAAACTCTTTCTGCGTCAGGACGTGATCCTTATCGCCCTCGACAGTTGCTGGCGCAGTGTACACAGGGCTAGCGATTTCCACTACCACAGTCTCTTCCTCCTCCTCGTTTAACATGAAAAGGACTAGCATCCTCAGTGTGACGGTGAGCTCCTTGCTTTGCAGGAAGGCTTTGGTCATCGGGGTATACGACAACTGGGTGTACAGGAAGTTCAGGCTCGCGTCCAGTAATGGTTTGTCGCTGAGCAGAGGGAGATATCGTATTGCAGCGGAAAGAGCAGGGCTGTCCGGTGTCATGTGGCCGACGTTCGGTGGGTTCGAGAAGAGCAGGTGCAAGGTGGTGAGACTGGAGATGATGAGCGAGCGATTTGACGACGATCCGGCAAGCTCAAGTAACGGCGGCACGGGGTTGGCGAAGAGAGGCGAGTTGGGCGGAGGAAGGATGGACGTGCTTGCGATGGCTTGAAGTATGTCGATGACATCGAGCAAGAACTCGACGTTCGCGTCGTTGTCGGGCTTTAGCCTATGCAGAGCGAGGAGGATCAACTCCTGCGTTGCCCGTCGTGCGGATAGCTCTCCTGCGTTCTGCGGGTTCAGCGACGCGTTCCGAAGGACGAAGACCGACTCGAGTGCGTGCTGCCTGTACCGCTCAATATCCTTCGGCAGCGAGAACAGCGCTGCCTGCGCAGCAACATCCAGTGCGGCCCCTCGCGCATACCACAGCGGCCACTCGAACAACCCTTCAATGAGTCCCGGCAGCGCTCTCAGCAGAAACTGCTCGTTCGCGCTTATGCGGCAGAGTCGGCTCAGGGCCCAGGCGATTTCAGAGTCAATGCCGCACTTGAGAGCGAGCACCATCCTGTTGTTCGGTAATGGATCCGTGTACCATCCTTTGTAGAAATGTTGAGAGTTGAGAGCGGTGAAATTGACCAAGCACGTACATCAACTCACGCTCATAGTCATCTACCGTTATTGGGCGTTGGGCGGGAGCAGGTGTTGCGGTCGCACCCCTCGGCGGCACTCTCTGATGTGGGGTAACGGAGCGAGCGGGAATTGTTTCAAAAACTGTGTTCATTTCAACACAGACGACGAGAGGCAGAAAAGAGCAGAGCGAATGGGATGAGAGCGAGTCCCAGAAGTCAGTTTACGCGTAAAAGCGCGTCAAGCGACCCCGAACACTGATTAGCGCAGAGAAGTGATAGCAATATTAATTGCAGAGCTTGACAGTCTAGTATAAACAAAGTACACTGCGAAGTCCATAAAAGTATCACAACATAGCCCTTGATGATAGTCCCACCAGTTATGTACGAAGGTCTGTAGCGCACTGTCTAAAGTCCCATGAAGAGCTCACAGAAGTCCGCTCGCTTTCATAACGACTTTATCCGAGGAACTCCTCGATGGCCTGGAGGCACTCGGTCCAGAACTTGTCTACGACTCCTTCGGAAAAGCCATTCTCGTCGTAACCGAGGCTGACCCAGAGCCTGCCGACGAAGGTATAGCCGAACAACAGCATAGCGCCTTGCCGCTGCCTCGACCCGGTAGTGAGTGTATGCAGCTTGATGCGCGAGAAATTCGCGTGCTTGTACATGCCGTCCAGGTTCCCCAGGAGCGACAGGCCAATGAGAGCGGTCGACGGCACCTTGGCGCGAGCGGGCAGGACAGGCTCCCTGGGAGGCTCGGTGTTAGCGGACGGAGTAGGAGGCGTCCAGGTACCCTTCTCCTTCTCATCGTCTTCTTTTCCCCATGCCCGTGCCCTTGCACCACGCTCCTTCGCCATCTCCTGTGTCCTCGAGATCAGCAGGGGATGTTTCGCCGCACGGGCGCTCTGCTCCTTGGCCTGGCGCGCTCGGTGCCAGAACGTTATCTCGGCGCGTGTGCGGTCCTCTGACACAAAGCTGGGCAGGATGACGTTAAAGTACCCGATAGAGAGGAACCAGTATGAGTCCCGAAGTGACGGACGCTTGACGGTGGAGTATGGCCGCAAATTGAGCGCGGAATACATGAGGGAGGGAAGCTCCTTGGAGCCATCGCTCGTTCGCGCCCAGGCAACGTTGCAAATCGCAAAGAGTGCAGCAGAGATAGAAACACCTTTCGCCTTGCACTTCTTGAGCATAGCCTTCGTCCGGTCTTCAGGGAAGGAGATCGTCGGCACGATGGTGCGGCGCTCTAGGTGCTTGCGTCTTGGGAACGCTTGCCCTCCGATAAGCTTCTGTTGCGACATTTGGAAGTCGACAGTAGCAGCAGCGCTGCGCAACTTGCTCCACGTCATGGGAATGTTGTCTTCCAGAGCAGCCGGTAACATCGATGACTAGAAGTTAATTCGTCAGAGTCCGGTCCGATGAGAGCTATCAAACATGCACTGACATCGTGGTGGCTGTCTTGCCATCGTTCAGTCCACTCCGCGTGCAACATTGCCTCGAGTTCTGCATCGCTCTTCTCGCTCCCCAGCAAGCCGAGGAAGTCGTTCGCGAACGTGTGCAAGGCCATGCCGTCTCCGATGAAGTGCATTGCACATATCAGAATATCGAATTGCGAATGCGGAAGGCCGTCCTCATTGTTAAGAGCAGCGGTCGACTTGAGGCTCTCGTATGATGGCGATGGAGTACGCGGAGGTGTGAGAAGGCTGGTTGCCGGATCCTCTTCCCCGTGCGAAATGACGAGATACGAGAGGCGAGAGTTCGAGAGTGTGCGGGGCCCATTGAGGTAGGAGTCAATCAATTCTATTGATGAACGTCAGCCATTGAAACAATGAGGGGCGGGACATCGCGTTATGCGCACCAGCCTTGCATTGCGTGCGATACTCCAGGCTAGTCTCGGCATCCCTCAAGACGTCATCTGGGGAGACTGGGACTCGGTAGCTAAACGACGTTTAGCGGGAAAGCTTGTTCGTTATGGACTCATCCCACTCACACGAAGCGCACGTCATCGTAATCGTACATCTGGACATGCGCAGACAGCAGCGGATGCCGCGCGCGGAGGATAGCCCATACCGTCCGCACCCTCGAATGGCCCACCAGGTGATCCGGAGCGTTGAAGCCGAGGTGCAAGTACCTGCGGAGCGGGATAAACTTCCCGAAAGACGGTCGGAATTCGGCGGTACGTACATGTCGTTGACGCCTGACTGGCGCGATGGCAGGTAGTACGACAGCTCGGTGTCGCCCATCTTGCGCTCGTAGAAGAGAGCCCCGAGAGCCTTTGACGGCTCGTTCGAGGAGACGCCCACGCAGGCGGCGGGAAGGTCCTCACCGTCCAGCGGAGGAGTCAAGAGGACAGGATCGGCGACGTCGACGAAGCGTCCCATGGTGTCGATTGAGGGATGCTAGGGGCGGCGAGATAAACAGGCCAACGAGGCCAGACATCATGACGGCTCTCGAGATTTAAAGGTTAGAGGATGGCATCCTCTAGCCGAAACAGAGACACTGGCACGAGATTTGACATCAGCACGGAGACAGAATAGCGTCAAACGGGAGACGTAGGGGTTTTCGAGGGTGCAGGGCGGCGTGGCCAAGCCGAAGGGCGGCATTGTGGACCTGTGGGCCTAGCGCAATGCGACGTGAATGATGCTCCGGCGAAAAGGGAGCTCCTATAGAGAGGAGTTAGGGATTTGGCTGCACCAGGGTTGCATGCCTCCTTCTGCCGTATCAATCGCCCTCCCGGACTGAGAAGATGGTGAGACGCCAGTAGTCCGCGCGTCGATGATCGCGTCTCAGCGGGGGGCCTGCCCCCTGAATAACTCCTCAGGCCTCAGCTCGTCTTCAAACGCGAGCGACGGAGCCCGCAGAGGTCGTGTCGAGCCGTGATGCCTCTACATTTCCCCTGAAACCGAGGGACTGTCCTCTCGGATGTACCAAGTATCCCACTAGTACTGAGCCAGGCGCGTAGACCTTGAGGGCATCGACCAGGGTCCTCCGCGCTAGACTGCATCCAGACGGCATAGAGACAGAATTGATATTAATTAATGCTTATCCGTACTTAATGTCGGAGGAGGCCGTCAAGAATACACTGCGACATTACCATCGCGTCCTCGGCACCTTGCTCTGTTACGCGTCAAGAGCAGAATAACGGCGGTCACTTGACATCACCGGCGAAGAATTGCTTTGGTCCCGAAGACGCCATTTGGACATGGTTCCCTGTAGTACAAATATTTCGTAAACAAAGCAAGGCTGCGAGCGCAACGTGCAGCACCCAATCATTATCGCAGTTTTCCGTGCCTAGTTGGTCATCGAATAGAATATCATGGTATCGTAAACGAATAGCTTCGAGGCTACGAGTGACAGCAGATTCCGTGTGCTTCCGGTCATAGAGTCTATGAAAGTCCAGAATGTCTGTTTGGAGCTGACCATCCCTTCCTACTACAAATTACTGTTGAGGTCCGCGCGACGATAGCTCGGCTGTATGTTTCGCCAGAGCGCTTTCCGCCTTCTCGAGATCAACAGGGTCCCGAGGGGGAACGCTGGAGCGCGGCGGGGCTGATTCGACAGATTTGACCCATGTATAGTACATGGTTCCCAACGCAATGATCAGAATCGAGAGTGCGCGATTACTGCGGTAGAGAAGGACGTGTTAGCGGCGTGCTGATCGGAGGAAAGGGTGGCTGGCATTACAAGACTCACCTGGTAAAAAGGTCATTGAACAGCCATACGCCTAGCAGCGTCTGGATGACAGAGCGAGCCGCCTGAAGACGCCCCCATTGTTTATCGCAGAGATAAAGAACAATGACGAGTTGATGAGTAGAGTTTTATAAGGCGATATTGGATTGTACTCACGCTCGAGAACATGTGGGTGATGGGGCTTGTCACTTTGATGCTCAGCAGGCCCGCTACGCAAAGCAGGAACCCGAACACGCCCGTGATGATGCTGCCCCAGACGAACACGCCAGCGTTCCAGTCCCGGCTGTTCATCAGTACTCGGAGCAGTCCATACTCTCCTTGGATGAGAATAAAAGGTGCCAAAAAGAGGGCAGAGCCGAGATTCTGCCAGTAGGCTAATTGTATAGTCGAGTTGTGGACATGCGGCAGCGACGACTTGATAAGCACAGCGTGAACAGCGATGAAGAGAGACGAGAGGACGCCGTAAAAAATCGAGAGCCCACTGGGAGCAGAGCGCCATTGGATGTTCGCGAACGTGTGAGGCGCGACGCCGAGAACGAAACCAAGCGTCACGACACCGGCGGCAAGCAAGACGCGTCGAGAAGGCACGTTGTGAGTTTGGATCGACGAGACTGCAATGGTAAGGGGTAGCACGAGTCCCCTCGCGATCTGTCACATCATGTCAGCGACCCTGCATTGACGTGCTGTGACCATGGGGCTTCACCTGGAAGAATGAGGCCTCGACTCCTCGGAGACACAAAATATTGAAAACGAGCCCGATAACATTGACCAGCGTCACCGGTGCCACCTTCTTCGCGGTCTTGAAGTCTAAGTGTGGGATCTCTACTTTTGGCGTAATGAGAGCGGAGATGTGCAGCAGAATAACCGCAAGGACCAGCTGGTTCAAGAGGAACAGCAGCGGTAGATCTGGAGAAGAATTCAAGACGGCCTTGTTACTGCCAAAAATCTAATGTAAGCATTGAGCTGACGAAATGAGAGCCATATACCCACACGAAGACCATCTGCAAAATTTGGATAAGAGAAAGTTCATCGACGAACAATGAAGTACTTACCACCAGCGCGGCGGCCATGTAGAACGACACCACTCCAGCAACCTGAAAGGTCTGGGACACATTCTGTTTGGTCGACTCCATATTGGACATTGCAGAGAACAACACGGGGGGAGTGTGGTCCGACGGCGCGCGAGGGGGACGTGGCCGATGGTGACACACGACCGAGAATGGGCCTATATAGCGAACCCCTGAAGGGATGCAATTATTATTACCGCTCGGCGCGCCAGGTTCGCGGTACAAAATGCACGGAGGGCGATCGACGAATATTAAATCTTCCACCAGCGGGGTCGCGAGACCGGCGGGAAGACCTGGGGCTGGAGGGAGTCGAACTTCCGCGACTGGTCGGAGACTTCGGCGAGGCAGAAGCGTCCTAAGTAAAAGTTTCGGCCCATGCTATGCACATGCGGCGTGATAGTAAGCCACTTGAGGACGGCCTGCTGCAAGCCGTAATTGAAAAGCCTGTAGACATCGGTTAGTACAGTAACCCTATCCCGTGTTAGGACCCCAGATACTGCTAAACGCCGGTCACTGTGGAGACGTAACTTTAGATAGCTAGATCTCTTCTAGTGTGTCGGATTCAATATTTCTGGTGTCTTCAGACACGATGAAGTATGCTGAGTACATCCCGAACACGAAATGTGCCTCTGACCGTGGCTGCACGCACGCCAGACACTGAGTGACAGGTACGATAGGGACCGTGACCGAAATCTATAGCCGCGCCAACGAAGAGATAACGTACGCGTGACGTGACACTTTGAGGGGCTATTTGTTATTCGTGGTGTGTGACGTACGTCACGGAGCGATCGGAAAGGCCCGATCTGTCCGTGTCGAAGTCTCGCCTGTTGTTGTCCCGCTCTAATTCGCCCGTCGGTCCACAACAAACACTTGAAATGTTAGGGCCGCGTCTCGGGGCCTTTTACAGCGCACACTCACCCGTTACTCCTTCCATCTCTTGCTGCCGTCGCTCCCGACGATGAAGGAGACTTACGGCCACATTCGCACTCAGTCAAGTGCCCCGCTTCTCCCGTATGCGGACACCACTCCGCCATCGACACCTTTCGTGACCTCCTTCCGCAGCAAGGGGTATCCAGTACCGAGCAGAAGGAAGTCCGCCTTTGTTCTCTGTGCTTTCGTTTCCGTCATCTCGCTTGGTGTCCTTGCGTCCTTCGCCATCCATAGCTCGCGTTCTTTCCCTGTCTCCCCTCTGTCTTCGTCTGCGCAGGATGTGCTGGACTCGCCATTCAACATGCCCCCGCCAGAGACGCACGAAGACGATGTTGCGACACTTCCTGACGAGTACCCGCCCTGGGTCTTGGGTCCGCCCACGCAGAGTTTCCGAGATAACCTCAGAAACGATACCAAGTACATCACCTCCTGGCTATCTGCCGGCTGGAGTGAGCGAAATTGAACCTTCTTCGTCTCCCTTGGCTGATCGAAGTTTTATTTTGCAGATAACGATGTCATGACCTACATGAATCTCATATACCTTGGCGTGGTTACTGATCGTGTGCCTATTGTCGCAATGTTCACGCCCTCTCATATCGGCGGTGACGCTCCCGTGATCACCTTTGGCGAGGTGTTCGACGTCCCAAGATTCAGAGAGGAGTCCGGAGTTCCGCTACTCGAATGGCTTGAAGTCAAGGATCCTGAGAGCGAGGAGGTCGACGAGCTCGGCTGCTGGAACATTTGGGAGGCTGTGCAGTACTACGAGCACTTCCCAAGGGGCAGCTCAATCCCAGACTGGCTAAGGCTAGGTGCATTACCCGCTTTACTGATGATTGTGGGCAGAAGCGCTGATCGTTGCTTACCCTAGACATCTCATATACAAGGGCACCAGACTGGGTGAAGCAGATACCCAATTACGAACATGATAAATGCAGCACCTTCTGGTCTCTCGCTCGACTTGCCTACCCCGAGGATAGGGAGAAAAACCTGGGCAACGTCCTTCCATCGCCTCACCATGGTGTCAGCCTTGACCCCGACGAGCATTTACTATGCTACGATTACCTATACTATGCCTGCGCGGCCCAGGTGCGCTCATGCACCTTTCTATTCGACATTTATGTCTGACAGCGCTAATGCAGATGTCCGAGTATGACTACTCATATGCTCCACAGTGGAAACACGTAGGACAGTACATGCATTGGACCAAGGAGATCGAGACCATCGCCGGCCAATATGTCAACCATGTCTTTGGGCTACCCGAAGACGGACCAGTGCCTCCGGTAAGTCCCTTCGCGACTTGCGTAAGCTATGGCGTCTCCTTATCGGCTTTTCTCTGCTCCAGTATATCACGATCCATGTTCGTCATGGCGATTTTAAGAACTGGTGTTGGGAAGCCGAAACCATCGAAGATTGCTTCGCACCCCTGCCTGTCATCGCGAGACGTGTACGGTAAGCAAATGTAGATCCTGTGAATTATGGCTTTCACTGAATAATAAACTGTGCAGCGAGGTGCAGGACGAAATATTGGAGCGGAAGGGAATCTACATACCCATGACGAGAGTGGTCATGACTTCTGACGAGACGGACGAGGCTTGGTGGGACGAGGTCGCCGCACTCGGATGGGCGCGCATGAATCATGATGAGCAACATACCGAGGAACAGTACGGCCGATGGCGAGTGCAGCTGCGCATACCTCATAAGATCTGCTGCTCACCCAAAGCGTTCCAGGCACCCGGTCATCCTTGATGCCGCTATCCAGTCAGGAGGTCTGGGTTTCGTGGGTACGGACCGCTCCACGTTCTCTGTCCTATCTCGCCGGCGCGTGCTCGATTGGCATGACGGCGCAGTGCGCATGGTGCTCTGGGGACGGAAAGGTGCTGACGATCATTAACAAATTATGAAGCCAACCCTTGGGCTTGACTCTTGAGCATCGACCACATATGGTCGATCCCATGGACTTCTGACCGGGTCCCTCGCCGTAAACACCGAGAGACCCATGGACTGTACTGTGGATTCGTGGGATTTTAATTTGCTGAACCTTGGTATATAGTCATCATGCAATAGTTGATAACCATGACACTGTATACGTAGTATTTGTTCACTCGGACATCACACACTGAACCAGTATGTCTACTTATGTATCGTATTTACAGTAATACAGCTCCTGCGCGTACTCAGTACTCAGCCTTCACAAACTCGCAACATGTCGTCATCGACGCACGCAAGCATGAGCGTCTCATATCTCAAGCTTTGACAACCATGACCGTTCCGCCCCTTCCAGTCGAGGCAAGTTTGGCATCTGGATGATACTATCAGCGGACGCTCATGAGCTTTGCAACAGGTATTTGCTGCGATTCTATCAGAAATACCCGCATCAAAAGAGGACCCCAGCGAGCAGACCCTGCTATACTGCTTGCGTGCTAACTCCGTCCTCCGCGCTGCAGCACTCGCACCACAGGTGTGGAAGACGCCATATCTGGTTAGATACACTCACAGCGATGAGGACCGCGAACGACAGCGGCGGACAGATGTCTCGTGCGACTGGCGGGCACTTTATTTATGGAGACGAAGACTTGACCGGGAGGCACTGTCCTTACTCGACAGGATACGCGGCGAACGTGTCGGCAGACACGACGTGGCACGCCGCATTGCTAAGGAGTATGGCTTCGATGTCTGGGACTTCTTCAGGGAGGAATCATGCCTCCCGCTTCCGACATGGTGTTACGATCAGCCGCCGCAGGATGTCGTCCAATCCCCTCCCAACGCATTGCCCCGTCGATACTGGGCACAGGTGATGCTGGGAGTCATCGCGCGGAATTCTGCTATCGGGCTGTGGTCCAAAGTTGCTCTGCCGAACCAGCAGGATGTAACCTTCGAAGAAGCCCTTGCCGGGCTCTCGGCATTCTTCGATGTCTCTGCGAAGGAGGCAAGTCGCCGGCTCGTCTTTGTTGGACGCCCTGCTGAAAGATGCGCTCGTAGGTGCTTGCTGAGCTTGAGCTCATATGCGACAAGTGCATCGAAAACCTTGTAGACAAGGGCGTCCCGTTGGATCCGAACGAGCAAGACTACGACTTCTGGACTATCATCGAGGAAATACGGGAGGCTATCCATAATCAAGGGTTCAGCATTGCAACAAGTGAGCGTCACACTTGACGAGTCAATTACTGATGTCAACTCAACATGTGCAGACGCCGACTTTTACAGGGTTATGAACCAGTTCCCTCATTTCTTTCTCAGGCCCGAGGGGCGAAGTTCGATTCCGATGTCGCTGGTTTACGTATTTGTGGCAGTTGCTCGGCGCCTTGGGATACAAGCGAGCTCCACTAACTTCCCTGGTGTCGTCCAAGCTCACATCCAACCTCCCAACGGCGAACGGGCGAAACTTCTGGACATGCGTGGAAATGAGCCCCCGTTAGAGTTCCCCAACTCACGGCATCACCATTTCTGGCCAGTAATGCTGCAGAGCCAGGACGAGTGTAGTCGCCCTGCCCCCCCTGCGCTGATGCTTACCCGGGCGTGCAACAACATTCAAATGTTTATGCAGCAGGAGATTGTGACAGGTGCTCCGCAATCGGCAGAGATCCATGACTCTGCATTCTATGCAGGCTCGTCATGGATCATGATCGAAGGCGAAGCAGGCCACATTATCCCCTCACCGCCGGACTCGAAGCCTTTGGATTTCGGGGCTGTGCTCTTGGACACTCTGTGCCCCCTTCTACCACCAGTTACGCGACCAGCGATCAGCGCACACTACGAGAGAATCATTGAAGACGATGAGGCCCGTGCCCGATCTGTCAAGCTACGCTCGAACTTTCCCGCCTTGAAGTTCTTTGTAGGGTTACCGTTTATGCACAGGAGATACGATTATCTGGGCGTCATATATGGCTGGGACGTGAGTAATCTCGTGTTCGATTTTTGTGCGTATTGATTCATACCGTAACAAGCCCACGTGTATGGCTTCTGAGGAATGGATCGAACAGATGCAGGTTAACCGCTTGTCTCAAGGAAGAAATCAGCCATTCTATCATGTTATTCCCTCTGAGGGACAGTCGAAGTGTAAGTCGTCGGATAGCCTATCTGGAGTGCAACTGACGAATGATCCACGCAGATGTCGCCCAGGAGAATATCATCCCTCTCGTGCCACTCGTGATGAACAAGCTGAACGAGTTGTTCCAACGTAATTCTCTGGCAAACCGCTACTTCGTCGACGTCGAGCGTGGTACATCAAAATACTCCACCAGACTTCTCCCTAGCACGGAGCTGAAAGATGCCTTCCCTGAAGACGATGCGTTTGGAGCGTCGTTCATTGGGGCGGCCGGCGCTTCACAAGTGCTACCCTCGCATGACTTAGCTTAGGTGCTCTCATTACGATGTATCATACAGCTTCATGGAGATATACACCTAAACGCGATGCTCTGAGCTTGTGCACATATGGCTGAGTTCGTTGAAAACGGCCGAGTACCGGAGAGCGGCTACTTACAAGCTGTACGGAACTTGGATTTCCCTATTCGGAGCGGTACCCAGATACTAGCTTACCTCTGATCTTCATGCTCCTCGTCTCCGCCGGCTCTAATGCCCGAGGCCAGTTGGCCACGGGAGATCAAGAAGATGCGCATACCTTTACCAAATGCTGTTTTGAAGGTTACGCTCCCGGACAGCTCCCGCAAGGCACGCAGACAGTCGTCCAGATCACCTGCGGCGCGAACCACACCCTACTGCTCTTGGAACGTACGCAGGACACCTCGTCCAGTACCCGGAGGGAGTTGTGGAGCTGCGGAGATGGAAGTAAGAGCCAGCTAGGTTCCTCCGTCGTAGAGTCGTCCTCCGTATTCGTGCCTTTGAACCTTGAGCTGCAGAGCCTCGGCCTCGAGGGCTATACCGTTCAGACGGTGGCAGCCTGTTGGGAGACCTCCTTCGTCGCACTTACGCACCCGGATCGCAGCGACGTATTGCTGTCCATGGGCTCCGACGATTTCGGGAACCTGGGCATCGGGGGAACGAAGGGCAAGAGCACGCGGTGCATACACAGGGTCCCGTTTGGCGGTGAATGCTTAGGGACCGATGATCCCTGCACCATTCGTGTCCTATCGCTCGCCGCTGGGCCACACCATGTCGCCATACGGCTATCTGCCAAGCTGGCGGGCCGGTCAGTGCAAGAACGCCTCGTAGGATGGGGTACATCCAGGCACGGACAGTTAGGCGACCTGAAGATTACTCGCATGGGACGGCCCGTTCCTTTCGTTGACTCCCCGTGGCCTGTCGCGTTACCCGTCGGCAATACGCTAAAAGAGTTCTCCCTAGGAAACCAGCACAGCGTCTTCTTGCTATCGTCTGGACGCCTCTATGGCATCGGTTCGAACCGACGGGGACAGCTAAATGAAATTGACCAGCACAAGGACGTGTCGTCCGTGAGCTGCACCTGGAACGGAACCTACGTTGTCATGCGTCAGAACAGTACCTGGACAATCCTGTCCCTAGGTGCTTCCCACAAGGGTCAGCTCGGTCGACAGATCCCTAATGAACCAGATCACACCACAGGTATTGCACCCGCGCCTGTCGAGTTCCCCTTCGGGGCAGACACCCGGGAGCTGATCAAGGTCGCCTGTGGTAGCGAGCATGTACTCTGTCTGTTTTCACTTCGAGACGCGCTACCCGGGGACACCGCATCATCGCAGCGAGAAGTCTGGGCTTGGGGATGGAACGAGCATGGTACGCTCGGCGATGGAACTACAGAAGATAGAAATTTCCCTCAAAAAGTGTGGCCACCTGACGAGAGCTCGCGGCGGGCTGTCGACATCTCCGCAGGCTGCGGGAACAGCTGGATCGTTCTCGAAGGCTAGATAACCCCTCAACATGATTATGTACAGTAAGGTTCGCGTTAATTGAATGTACATCTGCCACAGGAATAATGAACGTGTGTGCTAGGCATCGCTTCGTGCAATTACGAGAGGATATAAGGTTGTTCCAAGGGCTCCAAGTGAATGTATCGAGAGATGTACATTTGTGGCCATGGGTGTAGAGTTGTGGAGATTCCCGGGGAGACAGAGACTCTGGGTTTGACTACTTGAGCGAATACTGGAACGTCAGCAAGAGCGATGCACCGAGGACGACGTCAGGGGCGAACTTGGAGCTGTACTCAGGTGGAATAACGACGGCAGAGAAGTCCGCGGGCGGGCGAAGTGCAGGCGAGACCTTCTTGGACTTGATGCTTGAAGTCTCAGTTTCGATGTCAACAAGCGTTCGATCCGACTCAATGCTGTCGTTTCCACCCTCAAACTCCTTAGACACTCCCAAGTTGTCGCTATCGGGATCTATCCGCTGGCGTTTTGCGACACGAGCACAAGCCCACTCCAGAATCGGTTTTCGCGTAGAAGGATCGCCACGCCGGTTCTCTTTGTCGGCCCCAGAAACAGCAGAGAATCTCTTAGCGAGAGGACTAGGCATCGTAGAAGTGGCGACGGAGTTGGGTTGGGTTGACGGTGTAGAGGGCAAATATTCCCAGAGTTCGCGTTTCAGGGAACGAGAGGTCGGCTGAGGGGTCTTCTCCCGCAGGGAAGACAGAGAGACAGAGGAGACAACAGAGGGCTGGCGTGAAGAGGTAGGAGCATTGCGGCGCGAAGTATTGCCAAGAGGCTGGCGGGACATGAGCTGAGGAGCAGCCGTTACCACCATCGAGTTCTTCTTGGACAGCTGGCGGCGGTTCTGAAACCAGACGGTCACGGTTCTCGTATCCCTGTAAAGCTATGAGTCGAACTCCACAGCGAACGGTTGGGCGGGATACAAACATTCCAACCTCTCCACCCAGAGCCTGTTTCTGCTCTCGGGTTGGATGGGTATCCTGTTGGTACAGCGTCTCCAAGCGCTCTAGCTGCTTGTCGGTCATGCGATGGCGAGGCTTCTTATCTTTGTGGTCTCTGTCCGAGTACGGCGTCCCAGTCCTCGATGAACGGTTCGACGTCGTTCCGGCCTGCTTCCTAGCGAGAGCGGCAGGACGCGCGACACTGGGATCTTGCAGGTCAGCAACACGCGATGAACGAGTGGCACGCGCAGGAGGGCGCATCTTGAGTGTTTCCTAGGGTAAGGAGCGTGAGGTTTGTGTTGAAGCTGACCTGACCTATGCGTCGATTACGCAGAACCGTAACCGTAGAGACCTCGACGGCGTTGAACGAAGAACCAAGACAATTCCCAAATTGGAGAAGTCAACATTGATGAATGATATGTGACTGTCACGCATCACGTACACGACCCATCTTAAGCGATGACGTCGACAGCGGAACCGTCTACACGGGTGGCGGGCGAGCACTACTTAGCCTTTGTGCAAGGTACGCAGTCGATTCTGACTATCAACTACCACCATGGCCCTTGGTCTTGATAGAGAAGCTGCACAGGAACGTCTTCTCAATGGCACAAACACCGTGGTGCGCCGTGTGCGCTCAGCATGGAGTGGCTTCATAGGTGCGCGATGCGACCTTGCATCAGAATAGTCAGTCAAGGCTGACAGTTTTGAAATAGACTTCCTGGGGCGAGACAATGTTCTCGAAGTCGCTGTCGGTCTTATGTACGTCTGCATAAGCTCTGACGCCCGAAAAATCGCTCAATCGTCGACAGGATCGCTGCTTCGTTCTCTGGAGTTGTCAAGTCTTTAGTTTCTGATATTCTGCTACCGCCAATCTCGCTACTTCCCTTCATGTCCCACAAGAATCTGCCAGAGAAATTCTGGGTCCTGCGGAACGGGCCTACTGGCGACAAAGGTTACAACACCGTCAAGCAGGCTGCTGATGACGGTGCTATCACAATGAACTACGGGTGCGTAGAGCGAATGACTGCTGTGACGTTTTCTCACCCTCGTGCAGCGTGTTTATGGATAACACATTTACCTTCTTGTCGCTGGGTTTTGTTCTGTATGGCATTGCCCAGCTCTATGCAATCCTGTCGAAGGACTCCATCATCAAACACACCGTTCGCTGTCCCTACTGCCGGAAGTACATCTCCGAAAAGGTAAGTACCATAGTGCCGCGTTTCTGACAGTACAACAGACCTTTTATTTGTAGGCGAGACGTTGTGTCAACTGCACGAGCTGGCTGGACGGGCGCGAAGACCGGGAAACCAGTGCTTTAGCCAACAATAACGACTAGAAATTTCAGAGACTGAACTCCTGCTACGATCCATGCTTCGGAACGAGTACAACACTTCCGATATCCTATGTACATGTCCATACTTGCGGATGATACCAACGTCATGTGAATGCAATTGAAAGCAAGAACGCAAATGCCAGTGCATGACAAATTAAAATGCGATATCTTAGTAAGGCAAGGATTTACGTCAAGAAATAGAACTGAACGCGAGGATGAGCTATTGCTTCCCCAATGTTACAAGTTTCCAGTTGCAAAGCATTACGCATCGCGGAACGCTAGAAGCATCCGTGCTGCCTCTTCGTCCGCTCGTGCCGGTTCGCCTTTCGCTTTGACTCGAGACTTGCGCTGAGAGGGCTTCAACAGGTTGATAGGAACAGACATGGATTGTAAGCTGGTGTCTGGAGTGATGAGGTCGTCTAATTCGCCCTCCGAGCTTAGACCGTCGTCGAGATCCAAATCCGGGACATTTGTACCCTCTTCAACCCGTCTCTTCCGCCTCTCCCTGACTCGCCTGCGCAATGAGGCCCTTTCCTTGGCGCATGCCCATTCCAAGGAACGC